GAAGATAGAGAGAGAGAGAGAGAGAGAGAGAGAGAATGAAGATAGAGAGAGAGAGAGAGAGAGAGAGAGAGAGAGAGAGAGAGAGAGAGAGACAGAGAGAAAGAAAGAGAAAAGAAAGAAAAAGAAAATATGAGAGGGTATGGTGATATATAAAAAGCACACCTTAATAATATTGGCAAAGTAACACCTCAGCATCTGTATATATATGCAGTGCACTGCTGCAGCTTTCCAGGACAAATCTTCTTTGCTCATGTGCTTGTGAAACATTTATTTATTGAGATCTAAAGTACCGTAGGTTGTTTGTGTGTCTGAAATTCTACATTGCACACGCAGAACCACACACTGCATTACAACTACCAGCTTATTACCAATGCTCAGGGGCCCTGTGGAAATGGGCCAATATTTAGATTTCTGAATTTCTAAGGAAAAAAAGAAAACTTTAATAAACACAGCGAAGTCTGGAAGTTTCAGTAGTTGAAAAGCAAAGTATGCTTAACAGATGTTATAATGGCAAAGCACACAGAAAAGTTCTGATTTGTAAATGGGAAGCAGGAGGAGATGTGTATTGCTATATGCAGCCTGGGTCTCCTCTCTCATTACACAGGACAGCGGGGAAATGTGGGCATGACAGTCACTGCACAATGGACTTAATAACTGCTAAATCTTACTCAGCAGGATTACCGACAATTAGTGCCTGAACACAGTAATGTGAAAATTCCAAGTGCATATCTCACTTCAGGCATCTATAAACCTGGATCAGATTTGTTAAAGAGCTGCAGTATAACAGGGAAACATACACGTCTGTTTTTGTTTTGCCCTAGTTTTAAAGCCGGTAAAATTTAATACCATACAAAGTAAGGCAAGTATCCAGATCTTAATAGAGCAGGAAAACCACACAGAAGGTCAAGCATATAGCTTTGAACAGAAAAGCCTGGTATTTAACATGAGAAAGCTTTGTGTAACTGAGACTCATACAGTTTATAATAACTTATTTTATTTATAGCAAAGAGAATTGTGGAGTGTTGTAACCCATAGCAACACACAAGGTACCATCTTTTGGCAGTGTAGTATAGCAGTGTAGTACAATCATGAATATAGCCTTTTAATTGGTTGCTATAAGATATGTTGGTGTGCCATCATTTTGTAACAGGAATATATTCTCCATGCACATTTTTAGGAAAACGTGGTCCCAAAAATAATGAAAAGATCACAATTATATCAACTTTCTAATAGAAAAATGCTCACTGGTTAGTTTTAAAATAGAAAGCCATTCCACTAAAATGTAGCGTTCCTATGCAGAATTGCAAAGGTACATGCTACTGGTATATTTTCTTGTATAGCAGTCTTCCCTTTGCAAAGTTGTTTGTAGCATCAGCAGTAGTTGGCACAGTGTTGCAGTCTGATGTGGTTGATCACTGCCAGGATACAAAGCAACCAGGAACAAAATGCAGCTGGCACACACAGAATGCCCTACATACCACATATACACTACCATGGCGATGTGTATTACTTGAACTTGGCTTGGTACAGTTATTATATTAATATTACAATGCAATGAAAAATATACATCTTCAGACAAGTAGAAATTATTTTATGCCAGCAGTAGTAGCACCCAGGGGAAAAGACAAATCCCTTTAATGCTGAGCATTTAGAGAAATTAAGTGAATCATTTTCCAGTGAATTACACTGGTCCATTACTTCCAGTAGACTGTAAATGGTCAGTATTTATAATTAACACTGCCATGTAATCTGGAGCACAGATCCTTACTGAAGAAACAGTTGCTTTCTGGGAAAGCGGTTTACTTAAATATAAAAAAATATAATTTAACATCAAATAACAGAACAAAAAGGGGAGACAGAAGCTGCACAATACCTTTCTTGTCCAAAGTGCTGAAAACAAACTCCAGGGAGTCCTTGGAAAGCAGCGTGAAAAAGTGACAGCGTGTCTTTTTAAAGTTTAAAAGCCTGTTGCTGACTCCAGACTTCCTTCTCCCAAAGAAGTTGTTGAACTTTTTTTCAGCTGACTATCAAGGCTTTTAAAAAGTTTGCAATGTTCAACTCCACCTACAGGATGGACAGCCTGGGCAGAAAAGGGAGGAGAGAAGAAGGAGAGTGAATAAGGAGTGAACAATATTAAAGTTTAGAAAGAATGATAAAGTTATCTGGCTGGGTAATGAGACAAAGGAATACAGGGAGGAAATAATCACTTTACTTATTACAATATACGCAATATATAATATAAATCATATAATATAAATGATGTAATTAAAAAAAAAAAGATTATAATAATTAAACAATACAATGTTGTAAAAAAAAACATGTTCCAAAATAAATTGTTCATGTTTTCTTTAATATATGTAGAGCCAAAAGTAAATATATGCAGGGCAATATGTGAAATAGCAGTGCTAAGACAATCATTTAAAGGGAACCTTTTACACATGAAATTAGAGCAGAGTGCTGCGGAGCAGACAGATATTATAGACACTGTACTGCTTTTTAAATGCATGCTGCTATTTCTGATGGAGCATTCGAAAATCAGCTGGTGTGATCCCTTTTTATAAATCTATAAACTATGTAACTATGTAACTATGTAAAATCTCTCTGCTGACATTCAAGTTGGTTTTCTGAAGTGCATTACATTAAGCTGACATCCTTGGTTGAAAAATGTTTAAGCGCTACTTTTAGTGACAGATTCATCTAGATCCCAAACTTAGAGTGGGAGATGGTTAACAAGCCTGTCATATTTTTTTTATTGCTGTCTGGATCCCCACTTAAAAGATTCTCTCAATTTGTCTTAGGAACCACTGTTATTGGAACTGAAAATCCCAAAATGTGACCGGTCAGCGGAACAGGAATAAAAAGTAAGTCCATCCAATGGGGACTCTTGTTTCGGTAACAATTGTCTAAGGCTTTACTCATATCTATGCAATGTAGAAGCATGAGTGATGCCACATGTGATCCCGCATGGCATGTTGCCATCTTAGGTGGGGTGCGGTGCCATTATTTCTTAATGGCACCGCGATACACTTAGCCATCGCATTGGCATTGTATCGCACAACATTGCACAGTAACCTATTAGCATGTAATGTGATGCAGTTTAAAAAGAAAGGTGCATGCACTTTTTCAATGTGATTTAGCAGTGGTAGGCAGCCCATTCATGTGCCTTCTACACCACAAACACATCCTGCGATGTCACATTGCAAAGGTGTGGACAAGGATTTAGAGAGAATTTCCCTCACTTTGGAGAGATTTCCTCTCATTTACCGCTGTGTCAGAATATGAGCAGAAATCTCAAATGAGACAAAGGTAAAAAAAAAAATTGACAGTGTTTTAACCCTACCGTTCCCTAAAAAAGGTTTGGCTTTACACTTATACTTTAAATAAAATGTATGGGTTTAATGCATGTGCAGAATATGAAACAGTTTAGTAACGTCAATGTTTTGTACTGCAACTCAAGTTATTCACATGATCAAGTATCTTCTACTGCATTTTGTTAAACAACTGTTATGTTATATATAGAATGATATGGTATAACCTTTTCTTTCTCCTTTGTAAGCAAAAACATATTGCAAGATTAAAATGAGTCAATGAGTATGTGATTCACTCCATGTGACAGTGCTGGGTCAGTTAGCACATTTACACAAGGAGACCATAGCCCGGTGTAAGTTATATATTCAGTGACTTGTAACTTACACAAGGCTACACAAGACACATCTAATGTCTGTTACCAGAAAAAAATGTGCCTGCTTGTAATATAGAAAGGATGCTTTTCATATATTTTTGAAATCCTTATGCAACCTGGTGGTGGGGGTACATTAGTGAAAACGCTTGAAGTGTTAATATCCAGGGTTTGAATCACAGGGGCACCAACATGGAGTTTGTATGTTCTTCCCATTTTCGTTTATTTTTTTCTTCAGGTGATTCAGTTTTGCTCTCCCATCCTGATAGGCTATTTTAAAGTAGACTCCAGGTAAATAAAAATACATAAAAAGCCCAGTTAAAGAAAAAGATAAAACAAAGCTTTTGCTGAAATATTATTCTTCAATTTGGAGCTGTTGGTGGTAGTTATCCCATTCTACCAAATGATGCTGCCGGTTTTCCTGGTTAAATGATGTACAACATCATTCAACCCACTTCCCACAGTCCAGTCTGTCATGGACCTGCCTCCCAAGGGGAGACTTTAGCACACTAGCCTGGGCTTAGATTATCACTGCTCTAAAATGTACTCACACATCATTATGTACATGCCTTTTAGTGCAGAAACAAGGACAACCCACCACTGCCACGGAGGATAAGAGGAAGAACTCATGATATCACTCAACTGGCCAGAAGACTCTTGGAAAAATATGTATATGAATCAAGTAGGGAACTTTGTAGGGAACATAGACTATACATCCTTCTTGAAGCATGGACGAAGAGTTGCATGTACTCTGTTCAGCACCACATGTATGTAGGTGCCATATGACTACAGGAATACAAAATGGCCAGGGTCTTGTTTTACATTGCTACTGAGCCATTTATGACCAACAGATGGAGGATGCTAAGAATCATACTTCAAACCAATAGTGAATCTGTCTCAAGAAGCTTTTCTTCTGGATTGCCTCTCTGCCTCATTGCCAAACCACAATCTAGGTGGCTGAATTTAAAAAAAACAATGAAAGTTTGATTTCTGACTGCTTGCTACTGAATGTGTTCCAGCACTTTACATATTTAGATTTATTTTGAGCTACATTGTTGAATGCATTTCTCTATGCAAGATACATTAAAGGAGAACTATGGGGTTAGGGCTTTTCCCCATAGTTCTCCTAAGGGTAACGGGAGGACACAAACTAGCGTCCTCCCATTACCCAAAGCTCAGTATACCGCGAGCTACAGCTCGTGGTATACTGAGACACCACAGCCGGAACGTATCCCAACAATTATGTCTGGATCCACCCAGCTGCGTGAGTGACAGCTGGCTCTGCCTATCTAGAGGCAGAACCAGCAGTACCCGCCCCCTCCCCATCCGTTCCGCCAGTCAGCGCTGAAGGATTGGACAGGGGAGGAGGCCAGCAATAAGCCTGAGAAAGTGTTAGGACCAGCAATAATAAACTCTAGCAATAACCCCCAGAATGTTTCAGAGTCAGCAATGGTAATTCCCAAGAATAACTTCCAGCAAGTGTCAGGGCAAGCAATAACCTCCAGCGCAATAACAACTTCAAGCACAATAATAAACCCTAGCACAATAATAATCTCCTTTACAATAATACACCCCAGCACTGGTGTTCAGTTGTTTTACTTACCCAAGCACCTGCTCCAACAAAACTTATTTTCTATGGAACTATAATTTATCTGTTGGGCAGGAGATTATTCTGTCCAACAAAGCAAGTAGCTGGCACCACATTTGCAGGCATTGTGCTGGAATAAATAGTGTTCCTAACGCTTTTTTCTTTCTTTTTTTTGCAAAAGCAGCATGGGCCCAGCAGCTGGAGGTGCTATGGGGGTGCTTTAAGCAGAACACCTGCCATTGACTTTTAGTAATTTCTGTCCAAGACTCCTGTCATCTCTTTAAAATTGACACTTCCATCCATGCTGGATTAACCTATACTCCCAGACCATTGCAGCTCTCATGCATGGAAGCAATAATGTAATTTATCCACTTTATTCTCACCTTGATCATTCACATAGTGCTTTGTATGCTGTGAATAGTGCAAGGTAAAGTATATAAGTAAAAACCTGACAGGGGTTTTAATCCTTCCCCACTCCCCAGTCAACCCAAGACAAAGAAAAAATGTTGTAGGACATACACTTTAACCCTTATGCTTCCTCCACCATCTGCCTCAGTGCAATCATGTAGACAGACTACCAGCCAAAATAGCAGCCAGGGGGATGTTAATCTTTTTAGTTCCAGTTGCCAGTTTTTTTCTATAGAAGTGATTCAGGCGTTTTTACCCTTGTATATGTTATTGCAGGGTTCCGACCCCCTCCTCCCCACCTGACCCCCTCCACCATGTGTTCCAGGCTTACTTGCCCCTCCTGGATGCCCAGAGCCATCATGGCAGGTGTCAGGATGGATGATCTCTCCTGTGTTGTATGAACTTAACAGTGCTTAGCTCAGAGCACTCCTGGATTCAGTGCTGTCAATCCCTGGCCACTATGTTCTGTGTTCAGTCAGCTTCAAAAGAGTGCAGAGGTGACATTAGTGTTCTAATAGACACCTTATGACTCCTTAAATTAGGTATTGCACAGAAGCGGGAGTGAGATAAATAATTCTAGAGCCATCTTCACTGTTAACTTTAAAATGATGAGCTCTGAAGGCTTTTAAAAAGTTGCTAACGGACAATTTTATGTACCATAATTGTTTTACTGTTTAACAAGTGCATACAATTTTGAGGCTTGACATATTTGATATCAATTAACTCAGCACAACCTCATTGGGTATTATATTGTGTTTTCATGCACTAGAATTGATTTGTCTGATGCACTAAACAATTAGGTTTGAAAAACAGCAGCTTAATTATTTTGTGACATAAAAAATGCAACTTCCACCATTTTATTCTACGAGGTCTCTGCTTTCAGAAATTATAATGTTTGGGGGTTTTCAGTAATCGTGAGGCCGAAATGTGCATTTTAGCATGTGTGCAAACAGTGAAAAAAATGGCTAGTGAAAGGGCTAAAGCTGAGCTCCAGGCTTATCTTCAGCCCTGCACAGTTGTACAGACTCCTCTCCTGTACTAAAATTGCTTACTCTGATTTTACTGCACACCCTGAGCTTCTCACAGTGTTCATTAGAGGCTGCAGTAAGCCAAGAGTCCGCCTCACTAATGGACAGCATGGTGTATCTCTTTTCTCCCATGGCTTACTGTCCCTGGCCTGCCTCCTTTATTCTTGGATTCAAGTTCTTCAAATCATTACATGTGGGCATTACCTAGGGTGGCCTACGTGCAAATAAAGTTTGCCTAGGAAAGCCCACTTCTTCAGACTGACATCCACCCAGCAAAAAATGCATATTATTTAAA